GATTTTTTCCTTTATTTTTTTCCTATGTAAAACTTTGATCCACCATTGAGACCATTCCTTACCCTAGGGGCTTCTGATTTGAACAAATCTAATTCTACACAACCTGAGGATGCTGAAATGAAAATATCACAAATCATGGCTTTGCTATTCTTTAAAAGAAGATATTTTTAAAAATATTTTTTATGTAAATCTTGGATCCCCCATTGTGGTCCCAACCAATCCTTGGGGGTTATGATTTGAACAAAGTAGAATTTACACTGGGGATGCTTCCATATAAATATCACCAAATCATGGCTTTGCAGTACTTACATGTAAGGTCATACGCAACGTAGTTTGAACTTTATCGGGTTCTTCCCTGGAGTATATGAAGGACCTGTGTGCAATATTTTTATTGTCTATACAATGTATATGGATTTGTACACCTCTTCTAGAACACTTTTTGATGAAAAAAAAAATCTGGAATTTATGTTTTATAATATTTGTCATTTTTCTTTGAATAATGCCAAAATTTTCAAAATTTGAAATCTTTTTAAAAACCCCGGTAACGCATGCTGATTTTTTGTCTTACAACATGAAATGGTATTATAAGTTAAAATTGAGAATATCTTGAAAAATTATCAGTAGGTTAGTTATCTTGTGCACGTCCTTAAGAAGAAAATTTTTCATGATTTCCCTATATATTCCTATGACAAAACTTTGATTGGCCATTGTGGCCCCACCCTACCCAAGGGGGTCATGATTTGAACAAATTTGAATGAACACTCAATGAAGATTATACAACATGAGTTTTATCTTTTCTTATCCCTATGGATCTTGATAAGAAAGAGATTTTTCCGAAATCTTGCCATGTAAAAATGTGATCGGCCATATGCATTGTGGCCCCATCCTAACCCAAGTAGTCATGATTTGAACAAACTGGAAAGTACACTACCTGAGGATGATTCAACGTGAGTTTCATCTTTTCTGTCACTATGGATCTTGAGAAGAAGATTTTTAAAGATTTTTCCAATATATTCCCATGTAAAACTTTGATCGGCCATTTGCGGCCCTACCCTTCCGCCAGGGATCGTGATTTCGCAGCACTGTTAAGGCCTACTATGAGAAATCAACGGAAAAAAGACCTGCAAAAAAAGGGATTTTTTTAAAACTGAATTTATTTTAATTAAGCTGTTTTATTATCACAGAACTTTAATACTTATGGAAATTGATTAGTATAACCCACTCTGTTTTGTATGAAGTTTAGTCCCATCGACGATGAATGCATAGTTCCTGTACTGAATGTAGGTCATTAACAAATTTCTATATTGCAAGGGCATAGTTGAAATTAAAAATTCAAGCTATTAATTGTTTCTGAATTCTTTGTAGTTTCTGTAAAGTGCTGCTGCTTTGAATAGAATTCGCTATTTAATAGTAAAATTTTCAAGTAAATACATGTAGGCCAATGTCGAAATATTTGACTTTTACCAAATATTTTGTGTACTTATAAAATCACGCTCTCGATTTAAAGAAAGCAGCAGCACTTTTCAAGTTAAGAAAAATATCCTTATCTATATTCAAAAGAAAAAGTGTTGAGAAAGTTCGTTCCATGATGTAATATTTTAAAAATTTCTAAGTAGTGCTCAACTAAAAAGAAGAATTTTTCAAGTCTAAAAAAAATTTTAAGAGTGTGCGTTAGATTTAATGCAATTCATTTATAACTGGAAGTTATTGGACATTTCTTCAATATATGAAAATGTACGTATTTGACATCTTTAAGGAGGAACAGGACCTTTAGCTGAAAAAATTCCTGTCAATGATTTTTTTCGTATTTTTTATATTACTAATTTAATATGTACTTAACATTTTAAAATGGTCCTATAATGGGATTTCTTGACTTATTTAAAAGATATCGCCTTACAAATACCGCCCTGTTTAGAGTTTGTATGGAGTTTAGATACTTCATGTTTACGGGCCCATAACGGAGTCCATAATGCGAATTTTCACGCACAAACGATAAATATGATAGATTACACTATATACTCAAATATTTCATAATATATAATATTCATAGTGTTTAAATAATCTGAAAGCAATTGTATAAATTTTATATAGTATTTGGGTGGAATAATTTCTGCATTTTTCAAGGCAGCTTCAACGACAAAAACCTCATTTTGAAAAAAATTCTGTCAATAAATATTTCTAAATTTACGATTGAATGTCAGTCCTTCATTGTAATTATTTACTGCATAAATATCACAGGGTGAAGCTAACCTCAATATCGCACAGGACATCGTTGAATTAGACGTAAGCATGACAAAAACGCTTCACGTTTGTATTTTCCGAGTGGGGGAATTCAATTGTGACGTCATACGAAAAATTCAAAATTATCTAAATAGATTGAATCTCTGCTACTAAACACGAAAATATATTGATTCTAAAAAATCTGCTTCAGAAATTTATCACGATACATTGACTGTGACCTGTTTATTATGAAATAAAACTTATCATGATGGGTGTTTGTACTTGATCTTGCTGCACTGAGAATTCAAAAACTACGTCTATGACGTCACTGACGTCAGACGGCAGGGTAAAGAGAAAAAAAAATTGTGGATTGGGCAACTTCACAATATCTAAATGATGGCAAGATCTTTAAAAATTTTATTAATAATAATTTCTAAAATTAAATGATTAAAAAACAATTTTCGAATTTAGAATAAAATTTCACAAGAACTGTTGATTTTAACAACGTTTAACATGTATATCATCACCAATTATGACGTGATATGTCTCTTTAGTCATGTGACATGTGTCCTGTCTCCCCTTAAAGCACTCTAATATTAGAAAAGCTGGTCATTTTGAATAAAAATAAAGGATAATTTACTTCTGTTTCTTCCTATCTTATCTTGCATCAAAAAAGCTGATGAGCATAAGTATAAGAACGATAGATCACTTTTCAAAAGAAAAGCTTTTTCATGTTGAATTTTAACCGAGTTGATAATTTTTGCATAGTATTTGAAAGGGAGTTTTGACCTGTGTGGATAATATATATCAAAAATTTACGCAACTACTTATTTTTCTGAACAGACATCATCTGTTTTAATGCCTTCCCTCCCCTTATTGATTCAACAAAAGACAGTTAAAACCTTATCAGTATTAAGAATGGAGTCTGTAAACATGAAATATCACAAATTTTAAATATCTTCTAATCGTATTTTATTTCGAAAATAAAAGGAAAAGGTGGAATGAACTTTTTAACACCCTTTAAAAGCCTTGTATTGTCAATGTAATTCTTTTTTTTTGCCAGAGTGAAATGTAATATCATGGAAAACAGTTTGATACAAAATTGCTAAATGATGTTCAAACGGAAGAAATAATTTAGGAAAGCGGAAAGTCCTTTGCTACATTTCCTAATATTTTTATCAAACGCATGTTAAAAGAATGCAAAGATTGTCCTTCTCTGCTAAATTTTTCGTGTTCTTTGTGTCTTTTGTTTTTTACAAACCATTTCCACAATATCAAGCACAAAAAGGAATTTGTGACTCTTATAGGTAGGTCTTCTAACTGTACTGTTTAATTTGACTTAAAAATACTAGCTGAATGTCTTTATTTGTAATTTCAGCTTCAAAATGATCCCAGTTTTTCTTTTGTTTGTACAATTCTTTGTATTTCTCCTCCAAATGGACGTTAATTCATCCTTTGCTTGCCAAGATAAAGATTCCCCATTTTTTGAATAATTACAGGAGTATTAATCCTGAATATTAATTGTTATGATAGTTGGGTTTAAACTGACCAAATTTAAACGGGTGAAAATTAGTAAACAATTTTTTTCACAGTTATTAGCTAGCTTTTAAAACAATTTATACGATTATCAATTAGTCTATACATTTGAATGCAATAATATTAATATTGGATCTATGAAGATTTATTGTTTGATATGATTTTTATTCGACGAGTTGTGATTTTTTGTATCCTGAACAGGACTTTTAAAATATGACTATCGATGTTGTACACTCTTAAGTTTTATATACGAATCCTCATTGTTTTACTTTATTACAAACTACGTGAATGGTTGATTATTCAAATTGATGATGTATAACTTTATGACGTAGCACTGTTGATGTTGACATACTTCGAAAAAAAGTAGATTTTGTTCAAAATTTGGAAATTTTGCCAGTTGCGTCTTTGAAAACATCATGTGCAAATCGCTGGAGCTTTTAATAAAGCGAACTTCTGACTGAAAGTTGTAAGGACAATTCCTCAAATAATGAGTCCACAAAAGTGATTTTGGTACTGTAAGTTAATTCTCGAAGGACATAATTTCTTTCATGAAATCCATTCGATATATGTTTATACATTGTCATTAAGTTTTGTTTCACGCGATCATCAATGCTTCAGAAATTGATGATCAAGAATTAATTATCAAATTCATATTTAAGTCCAAGACATTTTTTCTGTTGTATTTATAAAAAAATATTAGTAATTAATTTGTCATTGCAGACAAACAATAACCTGTTGTGACGTATATCAGTGGAATGAAGCGAAAAAAGAATGTTTAGGTATGCATTTTCGTTTGTATTTCTATGATTATGTTTTCTGTTTCTGAAATGTTCAGAATTTACATTACAAAGTGTGTATTTAACCATGCAATTTTTCCACTGAGCAATTATAAATTGTCTACTTTTATTCCTATTAACGAGGATTTATGCAATGGAAGTATATTTTAAACATTGCTGACAATCATGTTATTAATACACCTACACACCGTTTTTTACTCATTTACGAAAAATTCGACAGAATACGGTCAGAATAAACCATATTAAATTGCAGATAGTTACGTTCACCATGTTATTTGATAATATTAATACATGCAAGAAATGAAAACGTCCCTTCCGTTGGACCGCAATTTTTTCTCGGCATGTATGATAAAGAATTCTTCCGAAGTTTTGGATGGCTTTCTCTTTCAAAACCTGTGTCGATACCCTTTAAGATACTTATATATGATATGTCTATATTTTGAACAGAATGTAGTCCAGGATATTACAGGACAAACTGTACAGAAAAGTGTCCTTATCCAGCGTACGCTAAAGCATGTCTTCAGAAATGTGAATGCGACAGATCTTCTTGTAGTTTTATTAATGGGTGTTCAGTTATAACTAGTACGTAAATCTTTGTCAAATTTATCTTAGATTCGACCCAAAGTAAAATATATGATTAAACTTCCTACATTTCTACAAATCCATTTGTGTTTATCGCTGTGTGTTTTGCTTGCATCTTGCAGTAGTAAAATCACCTTTAAGAAGTAAAGAAAAATACTTAAGGGCAATAATTAACATAATTCGGGATTATTTTCTTTTGATTAAATCAGAGAAATGCAGAAGTTTTCTTTGATTACGAATAAAAATTTCCTGTATCACAAAAACAGATTTAGAAAAGAATGCGTGGATTTCTTTGTCGATATGATTGTATGAATCAATTCTTAAAATTTATTTTCATCTGATAAAGACGTTGATCAGTTCCAGCCCTCCCTGCAACGATGCATATAACAATTCACTTAGCTTGGAGAGTTCTATGTACTAAAGTACATTAAAAATAAAAATTATCTAATATTTTTTCAAAAGAAAAAAAGCATTTCTGATTTGGTTAGTGAATGGACACCACGAAACAGCATGCTGGAATGGATTATACTATACACACCTTGACATAAACTGCTGGTTTGTACAAAAGACGAAGGCGAGATAGTCCAGGGCTTGGCGAGAAAGGATTTTATGTATGGAATATCATCGAACGAAAAGTTGAATTTCCAAATTTTGATAAGTTCAACACTGTTATGAAGGGTTCTAAACATTCCGAAGTTTGGGTCTGCTTCAATGCAGATTCGTTTACGAACTGTGAAACAGCGTAGTTTCCCGAAAGTGACGGAGTTAGGATAGTGACGGATTTAGGAAGTTTGGCGATAATTGAATCTAATAGGCCTTTTATACTGTTAAAAAGAATATCATTGAGAGAGTTAGCAAGATTCCAGTTCCACTCGACCAGGAATATTTCCCTCGGCGCTGCGCCTCGGGAAATAGTCCTGGCCTTGGGGAACTGGGATCTTGCTAACTTCCTGAATGATAATTGTATACTAACCTTGGATATCCAATGTTCACCATTAGTTTCTGTCATTGCATTTTGTTCACCCAAATCTGAACTTTGTTTTGTGCATTATATTGCAAGTGCTCAAAGTAAATAGTTAAAAGGGGGAGGTGCTACAGTGCCTAAATGCTATTGCATAGAATCACACAACAGGCCTTTCAAGCCTGGCAACGGTTTTCAAGGGGGGGGGCTTCCAAAAAGAGTTGACAAGCCGAAAAAAAAAACAACAAACAAACAAAATACCACCACCAAACGAATAAATAAAACCATAACACAAACACCTTTAATTCTGTTTCTATTTCAAAAGAAGGGGGCCCTCTAACCTTTCAGAAATTTTTTCCGAATGCTTGCACTTGGCTTTTTTTTCTGACAATAAAAAGCATCGTAAAGCATCAGTCCAAATCAAAGCTGTGATACAAGAAGCTAAAGGGAAATATCCTCTTCTGCATAATCCCTTTCATGACTTTTTATGAAGATGATTTAGAAATTGGATATGAATATAGCTAAATTTGCCTGAATCTTCCATTTATTTCATGTTACGAAGTCGTAACCAGGTTCACGGAGGAAAGCAAAACCTTATCTTTTAGCGAGCAGAAAGGACAGAGTTTGAAGAACATGTACAGTATGCTTATTTTATTCAAAATATCAGACTTAAAATATCTGTGTTACATAAAAAAAACCTCGCTGTCTGTCTTTTTGCAAAAATAAGGAGGGGGATCCAGCCACTGGAACCAACAAAACCCCCACCCCACTGGATCTATCATTGATGTTGCATCATATTTGCAAGCTCATTTTGACTTTTTTGTCAGAGATAACCTAAATTATCAAATGTTATTTATACATCGGTACCGTATATCCGTCTATTTGCGTGACAAAAGTTTTAAAAGACTTTGCGACTTTGAACAAAAGAAAAATGTGGATATATGTATATATATACTTTGAACATGTATTTATTTTTGGCTTGTTTTCTTTTTCGGATTCAAAGTGATCGCAAAAATATTTAAAAAGCACTGAATATACAGTAAATAACATTTTGCCCCCCCCCCCCCCCCCGCCGGCAGATGGAAATAATTACTGTTTCTTTATACATGTATACATATATATCCACTGAATTATAGGTTTAAAAAAACAAACAGATACTAAATGGTAATTTTAAATTGAATTTCTTATTTACATTTTCACGCCGATTACAAATTATTCATTCTTCTGTACTACGTAAAACCTTTAAATTTCGCTGTATTTAAACACCTAGTATATAATGTCATTTACTATTTTATAATTAAGATAATAATGATGGTAGTACTTTTATCTAAAATTGAAAGATCTACAAATTTTTACAGCACCATTCAGGCCTATATCTGCATCCTATTATATACAGGTGACTCTCGATCTCTCGAAGTTCAAGGGACCGCGAGAAAAGTTCGAGAGATCGAGGGGTTCGAGAGATGGAAAGTAAACAAAATCCGGAATTTTCAGTTCCGATCGTCGAAGTTCTACTTTTACATATACCGGAAGTATATGTAAATAATGTCATTGCACGTTTTCAATCGTATTTTACAGGTAATTTACTTGATATCAACAACAGTTATTGTATTTCGAATAAATGAAACGAATTCCTAAAGATTTAATATTTATTTGTTCCTATTTCATGATTACATGAAACCCGAAAAGCATATTGTAGGTTTGGCTATTCCTTGGCTTGATCGGGTCCTTCACAAGTGTTCACCAAATTTTTTTTAATCGGTATTCTGTCCTTGAGAAAAGAATTTCTTGTGTAATATTTCCCATACTGGGATTATGTAGACTCTATATAACCATAATGAAAGTTTATAATCTATGCGAACTTACTGAAACGAACATCTATAAATTAATTTAAAAAAAATTATCGTCTCGGTTTCAATTCAATATAAATTGTAATTTTTTTTTTCTAATTTACTCTGCCAATTAATTATAACAACACACGGATGACTCACAGGTGTAGTGTCATCTAGGTAAACACCCAATTAACACCTCCATGCCAGCCCGTGGCCTTCACGGTTTCCAGGTAAGTACAGACTGCATCAATTTTACGCTTGATTGGCGTGTATACACGCGCAATCAAAACTTCGAGAGATAGAGAGTAAAATTCAATGAAATATGTGTAACGGGACCTAGGTTTTGGTTCGAGAGATAGAGAACTTCGAGAGATGGAAGTTCGAGAGATCAGGAGTAAATTTGCTTAGTTAAATAGAGGAAAAAAACGGGACCGGAGGTTCACTTCGAGAGATAGAGAACTTCGAGAGATCGGAGTTCGAGCCATCGAGAGTCACCTGTAGTAAAAACGGTGTATAAACTGTTAAACTTTAAAAACACGATACCTTGTTTATGGAGTGCAAAAAGGTCATATTAATATTCGAAATTGTCTAGATTTGAATAAAAATGAAGTTGTATTGAATATTAGTTAAAGTCTGTCAGCTTGTATACCTACATCATGTTTTGTTTCATCAGATGAGATCAGTTTCAAGAGCACATCTTTTATATATGTCGATCATTTATGTGCCATTTTCTCGCCATCGGTGACATCATATGTTATATTTTAAGATCCATAAAAATCACTTTCCCCTGATATAAAAATTGCGACTTTTTCCCCTGCAATAATTACTGAATATATTCAGTAAATATAGTGTCAAACATTCTTTTGCAATTTGTTTAAGGTTTTGCAAATTCTGTCGTTCATTGACTGGACTACTACGAAGAGCGATATGTCTTGATCGGGCAGCCAATGGGCCGACTAAAAACAATTTAATATGAAAGAATAACTATTTTCTAAATAGAAAATTAGAAATATTATGAAGTGCACGACTTCAAAAAAAAATATTTTGCTGGGCAAAAACTGTTAAACTTGGTTAAATAGATTGGAAATATTGATAAACTTGTTGATCACCTTTCTTTTCTTTTTAGTTTCAACGTTTGCATTTCGTACATCGACGCATCACGCTTTAACTACAATTGAAAAGCATTTTTTTACCAACTACATCGAGAAGTACTGATTTCATGACTTTGCATGCAGAGGATAAATCGAGGGGAAACAATGACGCCTCAGGAACAAAAAGCAACACATTGTTTTATGTTGTTGTTTCGATGTCTTCGCTGTTTGCAGCATTACTATTTTTATATGTTTCTTGTATAATTTATCAGAAAAAAGTCAGACAGAGTAACTTTGATGAAAATGTTTCGTATATTGCATAATACAATTTATTGATAACGAAAGGTATTTATTTCCACTCCTGTGACGCTGATATAGCGACATGAACAGGTTCCGAGATAATTTTAAAAACATAAAAAACTAGTGCTTATTGTAACGGAAACCGTTACAGATGTTCCCCAAACGCTCCCCAACTCCCTTTCGGTGCCATATTCCCTGTAAGCTTCAATAAATAAGACAAACTCTGTGCATTTTTGACTTTAACAACGTTTTCCCAGAAGGATACCAATTATATTCAATTTTTAGCATTGCACCCAAGCGCATGTGAATGCATGTGCGTTATGACAATATCATCTTGTCTACACTATTTATATATTTTAATATACTATATATTAAAGCATTCAGTCCAAAAGTAATAAAAATCACTAATTCAAGAGTATTTTTAAATATAATCGTTTCAAATGCACGCACGTGCGTGCACGTGCAAGATGATCATACCTTCTTGTAGGAGTCCCTTACATCTATCTATGTTCTAAATGCCATCCTGTTTGGTTGAAAAACAAGGGAGTTATAGCAATTTAAAGTTTCAGCCAATCAGATTGCAGCACACGTGCATGCGCGTGATTTCATGATTTTTTTTCTACATCATTTCGTAGGATATCCTAATGCATGACTATATTTTAAATTTCAAAGAATTTCGTCAAAAAACAAAGGAGAAATAGCCATTGAAAGTTTTAGCCAATCAGATTGCAGCACACGTGCATGCGCGTGATTTCATGATTTTTTTTCTATATCATTTTGTAAGATATCCTAATGCATGACTATATT